AATAATGAGAAAATATCTTATACAGTGAACCAGGAGAGTTCTGTATGAGTTAGTTATAGCAAAATGAAATTATGGAAAATTTTTTTACCTAAATAGAAATTTTTGTTTCAAAAATACCTACGTTTTATTTATAAAAAATTCATTTTCCATTATCAGGTTTCCTTCTGAAATATAAATTATGGTCTTAAATTTTCCATTTAGCATGCCTGCCATACTACCTTGCCTTCTGTGAGCCTTTATTTTAATACTGCATCTTTGTCTTATTTTTAGTTTAAGATCTCACTAAGAAACCCTAAATTAATGTATGAGTAAAAATAATGCTAATATTTGAAAAATAAAGATTAAGAGATCAAGATAGATTTTACTACTTTTAGTAGGGCTACTTTTTCTTTCAAGTGCTAATAAATAATACACTTGAGAAACAGAAGCCAGATGTATATTATTGTATACATATACTGAACAGTAAACAGTTTCAGAAAATTATTGCTATTTTTCAACTTCTTTAAACTCTGGAGAACTTTCACTTTAATTACTTTTCTGATCTCGCAGTAGTGACAGGGAGGAACACAAAAGTTTTCGGTCTAGAGCTGCAGAATTTTAGTTGAATTTTAAATTTGGATGGGCCCTGAGACCCCCCAATCTGGTCAGGCTAATATGTATTTGAAGCAAAATGCCTTTAACGGTTTACTGAGTTTACTTGAAGTTGGCTAAATTATACTGTCTATGTATACATTTCTACCTCTACATAAGTTGAATGCTGATAAAAGGAACTAGTAGAGAACTATGTAAATGGATAATTAATATTACAAAAAAATGAACAAATATTTCTAATTACTTTTCCAAATGTTTCCAAATATAATAAATATAATGTTATAAATATTTTCACGTCTGAGAGTAAACACTATAATCTATACTAAATTTGCACTGGGTGGAGAATCAAGATGGTAGAATAGACAGTCCCCGGCATCTCTTTCTCCCACAGTCAATCAATTTACAACTATTAAAGAGCAAAGACTGCCACACTGGAGCCACTGGAGCTCAGGGGAAGAGGAGGAGAGACCTGCAGAGTTCATGAAGGTGAGAGAAGTCACGATGAGAGAAAGAAAGGACCACTCTGACCATTTCGAGCTCCAGCCATTTCAAGGCTGGCCCTGGTGAGCACACAGAGCAAGAGCTGGCTAAAACCACAGCTGTGCCCTTTGTATGAAGTTACTTGGAGGCTGCAGGGAGAGGAGGGCGTTGGTGGTCCCCAGGCCAGCAAAACCACTGACAGGGTGTCCGTGGACCCACATATGAGTGAGGGGCCACAGACAACTGAAAAAAAGAGCCACTCAAAAGCCAGAGTCGGGCCGGCCCGGGGGTGCACTGCTACAGTGCGCTGCTTGGGAAGTGCGGCGGCGCTCCGCCGAGGGTTCGGATCCCACATACAGACCGGCCGCTCACTGGCTGAGCAAGGAGCGGGGGCAACACTGAGGGTTGCAATCCCGTTGCCGGTCCTGGTCTGGTACGGGCGCGACACTGAGGGTTGCAATCCATTGCCAGTCATGAAAAAAAGACAAAAAGGAAAAAAAAATCACTAAAATATTCAATAGTATTTATGGAAGACTTACTATATACCAGATTTGTCCTATACTCTCATATTTTAAAAAATGCTGATCTCATGAAGCTAATATCTGAGTGCATGAAAATGGACAATAATAAGCAAATACATGATTAAAATATAAAAAGCTGTATGTCAGATTACAGTTGTGCAAAGGAGGGCAGTAGAGGGATAAGAAATTCTGAGGAA